CGATGGGCGGGTTTTAGATTGTTGGCGACTAAGACAGAAATTAATCTAAAAACTTGCAAAAATTGAACCTCCCAACCTCGTTATCCTTCTGCCCCTTCAACACCAAGAATTAATAAATCCTTAAAATTGGTCGGAATTTTATTTAAAAATAGCTAGTATTTAAATGTTGTTTATGAAAAAAAAGGTATTTTTGAAATATATATATATATATATATATATATATATATATATATATATATATATATATATATATATATACAGAGGTGATTTTAAGGGTGTGTGTGGGGACTGGTCCTACCCCTCCCCCCCCCTCCCAAAGAAGGTGATTTTTAAGTTACAGTCGGTTTTTTTCAAAAGGGTAAAATTTTCCGACTAATAGTCAAATTTGCCGACTAAAAATTATTGATGGGGGGGGGGGTTGTCTCACACCCCTATCGCTATATATATATATATATATATATATATATATATATATATATATATATATATATATATATATATATATATATATATATATATATATATATATATATATATATATATATATATATATATTACAGTATATTTTTCTACACACTCGCGGAAAGTGTGGAGTTTTCCTCCACATCGGTGTGTAGCTATCACTCCTAGACACAAGTGTGAAGTTATTTTGGACAATTTGTGCAAACAACTCCACACTTTTGCGCAGAAATTGAGTTAAAAAAGTAAGTTTCCGCAAAAGTGTGCAAAATAACTCCACACTTGCGTCTAGGAGTGATAGCTACACACTGGTGTCGAGGAAAACTTCACACTTTTCGCGAGAGTGTAGGTTATTTTTTTGTTATGTATAGTTAATGATCTAAAGTTTACTTTAAAACTATGGTACTTTATTATTTTTATCAATTGGTTTATTATAAATAAAATAAACCAGTATCATAATCATTTAAAAGCCTAAAATTACATTCATGACAAGTATAATGTATAGCGAAAGAAACAATTGTTACCGTCAGCAGGTTTCTGTTATATTTAAATATGCAACGTATACTCAGCATATATATATATATATATATATATATATATATATATATATATATATATATATATATATATATATATATATATATATATATATATATAATGCAGTTTATTTAAAAAAAAAATCCTTATTTTAAAAAAAAATGTTAGGAGCACAAGTGGTACAATATTTAAAAATACTTGCTTAAAAAAAATTTAAATTGATTTTTTTAGAAATTGTAATCATTTTTGACAAATTTTGTCTTTGCTTGCAAAACATTTTTTCAATTATTAAAATTTCAGTATCGAATATAATTACAATACAGTAATAAGTTTTGCTCTAGTTTAGAAAGATAAAAATAAAATAAAGAAAATGTTTTTAGTATTTAAATCCAAGCTTTTTTCGTATTGCGATTTTTGAAACATTTACAAAACTCATTTGAAAACAGTTAAATGCAACAATGAAATTTCAGAATCGGTTGGCGTAGCTAAGTGGATACATTACAAATTAGATAATGGTATGTCTGCAAAAAGCGTGTCATGCAGACAGGGCCGACGACACCGGGGGGGGGGGGCTAGGAGGCACCCCCACTTTTTTTATTTCTAGAAAATCCTAGATATATAGAACTTTTTTTAGAAATTAACGATTGTGCCCCCGGATCCAGGAAGTTTTTTGGTGGTGGTGGTGGGGAGGATGTTGAAATTTTTTTTTATTTTGTACCACATTTGCGTCTCCTAAAAAAAAAAAGGTTTTCGATTTTTAAGATATTTTAGGACTTTCATATTCTGGTGGGGCGGACGTCACTGACTGTTTGTTAACTACATTTAGAATAATTTAAAACTGTTAACTGCAATTAGAATTATTGAGTGTCAAACTCAAAGGTTTAAAAATTTGAAATCGAAAAAATGAAATTTAAATTTAATAAAAACATTCTCAAACAACAAACAATGCTCAGTATGTATCTGTGCTTGATGGTTATATTGCCATAGTTTACAAATTATGTTGACTAATGCTTATTTCGTTTTCCATTAACTTCGACAAATATATAAAACTATAATTTATTATGATTTAAAGCCTATAGATAATATTTATCAAATATTAAGACATAATTAATTTGATTTTTAATAGAACTTTATAGAAAGCTAAAAAGTTTGCTGTTGTTGATTACACTTTTGAATAATTTATTGTTTTTAGATTTGAATTGAAAGGAATAGTATAATCTTGCGATATTGTTGGCATCATTTTTCAGCACAAGCTTGTCAGACATTAACTTCAACGCTAACCGCAAAAGCATTTATTTTGAATTGACGTCTCTGAAACATTAAACCGAAAACGTTTTGAATGATCACTTTAATATTGTTGTTTTATACCAATAATCTGTAAATTTTGTTAATTAGAGATGATGGGCTTCTTTTTTACTGATATGATATAAATAGCTTATAATTATGGATTAAAGTTGAAACAGGATAAATTACTGGTTTTTGGTGAAGCTAAAAAAATTCACGA